AGGTAGGCCCAACAGTGTCGCCCCTGCATTTTCTTCTAAGAATATTATGGTTTTAGTTTGTGTATTTAAGTCCTTAATCCATTTTGAATTTGTTGTTGTCTCTGTTGTGAGGCATGGTCCTGTTTCATTTTTCTGCATGTGGAAATCCAGTTTTCCCAGCACCATTTATTGAAGAGACTCTTCTTTCCCCATTGAATAGACTTAGCATCCTTGTCAAAAATTAGTGTACTATAGATGTGTGAGTTTCTTCTTCTGGACTCTCAATTCTATTCCATTGGCCTATGAGTCTTGTTATGCCAGTGCCAGGGTGTTTTGATTATTGTAGCTGTATAACATGTTTTAAAATCAGCAAGTACAATTGCTCCTAGTTTGTTCTTCTCTTTCAGCATTGTTTTAGTTATTTTGAGCCTCTTGCCATTCCATATAGTGTTGAGGATTGGCTTTTCTGTTTTTATAAAGAAAGCTATTGGAAATTTGATTGGAATTCCATTGACTGTATAGATCACTTTGGGTAGTATTAACATCTTAACAGTGTTAAGTCTACAAACAATCTTGTGTTTTTATTGTTAAATCAATAAGCACATGTTAAGTAAGAGCAAGAGATGAGTCTTTTTTTTTTTTTTTTCTTTTAGGAAAACAAACAAATGATAAATTATTTATATTGTTGTTAGGTGCTGTCCAGGCAGCTCTGACTCATAGCGACTCTGTACGAAAGAACAAAACACTGCCCAGTCCTTCGCCATCCTCCTCATCCTTGTGCTTGAGCCCGTTACTGCAGCCACTGTGTCAGTCACCTTGTTGGTGGTGTTCTCCTTCTTTGCTGACCCTCTGCTTTACCAAGCATAATGTCCTTCTTCAGGGACTTGTTGCTACCCTGCTTGAAAACCTTCAAATTCTCAATCCTTGGGGGTTCTTAAAGGATGGTCAGGCTCAGCTCTGTCTCACACCCCAGATCAAGCAGAATGGAACAGTTCTTTGCTTAAAATAATGTTTCAAACACAAGAAATTTAAAATTGCAATGTTCAGTTTTCAAGGAAACAGAAAAAAATATAAGTACTAAAAAGGGATTCTTGTCATCATTACCCTTGATTTCCAGTTATAGTTATCAAGATTGACAGGGCAAGCTTTCTTATATTGATCTCTGACTGCTAACCAGAAGGCTGGCGGTTCAAACCCACCAGCCACTCCCCAGAAGGAAGATGGGGCAATCTACTTCCGTAGTGATACTGCCTCGGAAACCCAAGGAGGGGTCGCTATGAGTCGGGTCTGACTCGACGGCACAT